AAAAAAAAAATGAACGATGATAGCGATACTGATAAAAAATTGTGTGGATCTGTGAAAGAAGATACAGCCTTGAAAAACTGTATTAACAATAATACAAACACAGTTTAAGCCTAACTGCTCATTAATCTCCGCACTCGTTTAGCTCAATCTTAAAACGCTTCAAGCCCGAAAATGCGTAAAAAAAAATTATTGCTAGTTATCCGTGTAATTGAAGAAAATCTTTTTTTTTTTCCCATTTATATGACTTGATGAATAGCAGTAGGAAAAAGGCAAAGAAGTTAAACAGAAAAGATCATGCAAGTAATTAAACCAAGATAATTTTTGGTTTGACTCAAATAATTTGTTACTGCAATAAAGTGTCAAGAAGGAAACATAACGTAAGGACGACGATAAATCATGAAGCCATTTTGGAGCTGTAAGAAAAAAAAACGAAGGAACTGCTGTTTCGGTCCATAAATCAAACTGAACATAGACAACATCAGAAAATTGTTGCCTGAAAAATGCAGAAAGTGCTGTCATGCTAATTTATCAGTCTAAGGAAAATAACAAAACAACTAAAAAAAAAAACAAACTAATGAAACGGTGGAAGGTTAAAAAAACGAAGAAAAATACGATTTATCAGATGAAAAAAATTCCAAAATATAAAAAATCATATAATACCACTGAAGAAAAAGCACATGCCTAGTCGATATCGTTGGAAGAATCTTTTTTTTTTTTGCTCTTGTTGCTTTCTGTAACCCTGTTTTTTTTCTCCTTTTTTTTGGAACAACTGCAGGAGGAATGGCGTTCGTCGATGGCGATTATGATGACGATGATGAGGTCGACGGTGCGACGGTGACGACGTTAACGACGACGACGATGATGCTAGAGGGCAGGAAAGTGGATAACAAGGAAGTAACAGCGAACAGTGAATGGTTGTTCTCATTGTTAAGAGAACGTCTATCGCCGTCTGCTGATTATCGAGATTAAACAGAAGAAAGTCCAATGCAAATGATGCAAGGTGATGCTGATAACAATGATGCTGTTGGTACCGTTTGCCAAACTGTGAACCATAACGATCCGTTGAAAGCCAACGACAAATGACGGGGATTGCGCGCCAGAGAAACGAAAAAATTTGCAGTTTCACTTGTTCACCACAAATTCAAATTTGATCAAAAACATTCACAACGACAAACAACGTTTAATTTAAAAGCTTTCAAAGAGCTTGTTGTTGTTGTTGTCTCCTCTGCTGCTACTGCCGTTGTTGTTGTTGTTGTTGTTTTTGTTGTTTTTGTTTGTTAGCTGTTACTTCCTGCTTCTAATCCTCCTTTTTGTTTTTTTTTTTTTTTTTCATTTTTGGCCATCGCTTTGAAATAACCATCATTTGAAGAGCAGCAGTTGAACAAAATAAAATAAAGAAAATCTTTCTTTTCTTTTTCCTTTGCTATATATAGGAGTAATTCCGTTGGATCAAAACAGTTTTATCATTGACCGCATGATGATAACATTCGGTCAATTAACTTATCCTATTAGCCAAAATAAACAGTTTTGAAGTCAGCAGAACACAAAGTGCGCACTACAAATATTCCCACATGTGCTGTCGTCATCGTTAATGCTGTTCTTTGTCGCTGTCGTTATTGGATTAGTCTGATAATATTATATATATATATATATATATATATATATATAT